AAAAAGTTTAAAATTCAATAAACACTGCTAAATGCCACAAAAAAGAGATAAAAAATAGATATTATTCAATTTTGTTGATACATTAAAAAAAGCATTGACCTTTTTCTTTTAGTTCAGTACAATATTTATTTTGCCAACTTTTTTTCAGCAGCAAAATGAAATAATAATTAAAAGCAGAAAAAAGGAAAAGGTATAAGGGGTTTCTACTTAAAAGCTAGTTGATACAATAAGATTTTAATTTAAATCGATACGAAGTCATGATATAATAAAAAAATTATACTGTTAACTATGTTACAGCCAATACAAAACAAAACTATGTTACAGCCAGAACGGTGCGGTGCGGGCCAACCCTGGACCGGTCGGAAACCACACAACCGGCCCATAGGCCGGCAGATGTGAGCTGTATGAAGAAGCGGAACAAACAAGACGGGCCGCAGAAGAAGCGGAGCGGGCAAGGTGGGTTGTAGAAGCGAATCAGGAGAGGGTGTGGTCCACTAGGTCCATAATCACGAATATGACGAGAAAAACTTAGAAGAGTTTGAAGGTAAAGTTGAGAAGGAAAGTTTTTGAAATGTCGGAAACGAATTCTATTAAGAGGGATAACCTAGGGTTTGCTTTTTTTTTTTTTTTTATGCATTTTTTTGTTTGGTTGTTGTTTCTTTCTTCTTATGGTGTTCCTAGCGATGTCTAGAGTGTGGGAAAGACGATCTACCTCTCAAAAGTATATCATCATTGTATCTTGCATGTATTCCTTTGATTTTCGTAAAAACGGCTCTTGAACGGCTCTTATTTGTGTTTCCTCCACCTATCTATTGTCATTTCGTCGTAGTTTGTTACTGATTTTGGTGTCGAGGCATATCAAATTGATTTTGGTTCCGAGGCGTATCAAATTGGTATCAGAGCATAGATCTTGGTGGGATGAAAACAAAAAAGTTGATGGGCTAGAAGGAGAAGTATGGCAAATCAGATCGGGAATAGAAGAGAGGTTCGCCACCATGGAGGACAGCTTTCTTCCATTGAAAGTTGGATGGAGGACGGATTTGAGAGTATAGAAAAAATGAGTGAGATGATGAAAAAGCTCATGGAGATGCAAGCCAATGTCGTGCCGATCGCTCCAGTTGCAAATTCTAACCAAGGGTTGAGCAATGAATCCTTGGCTAAGTCAAAAGGGAAGGAGATTGCGCAAGAAGATAACAAAGATCTCATTTACCTACAAGAACGCCCCCCTAGGACTCCGAGAGGAGGGATAGTGAAGACTTCCAATAGAGGGGGATGGACTGAAAATTAGAGGAGGGATGATGTAAGGGGCACAGAAGAGCACGATGAAGGAAGGAGTGATTCGGGAGTGGGATATACCTATGACAGGAGGGACTTCCACCCTAGATACATCGGGGAAAATACCGAAGGAAGAGGTTGGGATGGAGATGCAATGACCAGGAAACTGAAGATGCAAATCTTCGAAGGAGAGGATGCACATGGATGGATGTATCAGGTGGAGCGGTATTTTGCAATCAATTGGTTGACTGAGAAAGAGAAGCTCATGCCAACGAGATTATGCTTAGAGGGAAAGGCTTTAGTGTGGTTCCAGTGGATGGAGGCAAGGCATCTGATAAACTCATGGGAAGAGTTTAAGGATTGCTTATTGGAACGTTTTCGAGTCATTTGAGAAGAAGACCTAAACTCATGGGAAGAGTTTAAGGATTGCTTATTGGAACGTTTTCGAGCCATTTGAGAAGAAGACCTACACGAGCAATTCTATTCTCTGACTCAGGAGGAAACGATTATAGAATACTGAGAGAAGTATGAGCTATTGTTACGGAGATTGAGGAGGTTTTCTGCGGCAGTAGATGACTGCTGTTAAAGTGCAATGAGTTTTGACACTACATGTCCTGCAGATGGTGAAAGATTTTCTTCCTTTAGATTTGTGCAGCAAATAATTGATTTTGGGGATGAAGTGGTTGCGAACATTGGAGGAGATGAAGGTGGATTGGAAGTCCTTAACAATGAAATTCCAAGTGGAGTGTAGGAAGGTGATGCTGAGAGGAGGTGTTGAACTATGCAAAATAATTGTCGCACAAATAATAGTCAAGTCGATATGAGATTCGAGAATCGGGCCACTTGGTGAAGTTGCAAAGCATTGAGGAGATTCAAGATTCAGAGTTGACAGCATTTCCTGAACAGGTGCAGCAACTCCTACAGCGGTTTACGGATGTCTTCCAACAGAGAAGCGAGTTACCTCCCCCAAGGGATCACAAGCACGCTATTACCTTGAAGGAGGGTGTTTCCCCAATCAGCTTCAAACCATACAAATACCCCCAGATTCAGAAGAATGAGATAGAGAAGCTAATCTGAGAGATGCTCAAGGTCGGAATTATCAAGCCTAGTGTAAGCCTTTTTTCCAATCTCGTCCTATTGGTGAAAAAAAATTACTGATCTTTGAACAAGGAAACGATGTTGGACAAGTTTTTATTCCTGTGATTGATGAGTTACTGAATGAGCTTTATGGGACAGTCATTTTCTTAAAAATTGATCATAAGTTGGGATACCACCAGATCAGGATGAATATAACGGATGTGCAAAAGACAACATTCAGGACACATGAAGGGCATTGTGAGTTCTTAGTGATGTTGTTTGGTCTCACCAACGCCCTGACGACATTTTAGTCCCTCATGAATAGTGTTTTCAACCTTACCTCCGGAAATTTATCCTGGTTTTCTTGTATAATATTTTGATTTACAGTCGTACAAAGGCCAAGAATGTGGGGAACCTAAGGACAGTCTTGTAAAAGGGTTAAGGGAGCACCAGTTGTATTCCAATTTAAAGAAATGTTCAGTTGCAGGTGAAGTCTAAGACAAGTGGTGATCAGAACTAGGGTAACAATAGATCAGTCCAAGATCGAGGCTATGGTTGATTGGCCCTTACCAAGGAACTTAAAGGAATTGAGAGGATTTGTGGGACTCACAGGCTACTATCGGAAGTTCCTAAGAGGATATGGCACGATAGCATGACCGTTGAAGGAGTAATTGAAAAAAGAAAATTTCAAATTGGGGGGAGCAACAACACAGGCATTTGAACATTTAAAGAGGGACATGACTAGCGTACCATTATTAGCACCTCAAGATTTCAGTGGTGGAGACAGATGCATCAGGGTACAGATTCAGTGCATTACTCATGTACAATCAACAATCGATTGCTTACTTCAGCCATGTTTTTACGGCCAAAGCAAGGTTAAAGTCGATATATGAACGAGAATTAACGACAATTGTCTTGGCCATTCAAAAGCGACGGCCCAACCTGTTGGGATGACATTTTGGTCAGGACAAATCAGAGGAGCATAAAGTATCTTTGGAGCAGCGAATGGTGATTGAGAAGCATCAAAGATGGCTATACAAGCTACTGGGGTATAATTTTGAGATTCAGTGTCAGCCAAGGTTAGAGAACAATGCAGCTGATGCACTATTGAGAAAGATGGAGGAGCCCCAATTGACAACCCTATCAGTACCATTGGTTCTGGATTGAGAAGCCTTAAGATAGGAAAACAAAAGGGATGAAGAGCTGGAGAAGATAAGAGCTGAGTTACAACGGGATCTGAACTGTCATCCAGGATATACACTAAAGGGGTGGCAACTGCTCCACCAGGGAGCGATTCGTGTTACCCAGGTCGTCGAAGCGCATTCCCAAATTATTACAGGAGCTTCATGGCAGTGTGATCGGGGGACACACAGGGGTGCAGAAGACCTATAGTCGTCTAGCAGTGGAGTTATATTAGTTAGGGATGCACAGAGACGTGGAGAACATGGTAGCAAAATGTGATGTCTGTCAGCAGCACATTTACTTGAACACAGCACCAGAAAGGTTACTACAACCATTAGCATTGTCGAGAAAGGTTTGAGAGGAAGTGAGAATGGATTTTATCGAGAGGTTGCCCCGGTCAGAAGGATTCACGAAGATCATGGTGGTCGTAGATCGCCTAAGTATGCAAATTTTATTCCCTTACGACATCCCTACATGGTGATCTAAGTCGCAGCGATTTTTAACCGGTAAGTGAATTGTTTGCACAGGGTGTCGGAATCAATTGTATCAGATAGAGACAAAGTGTTCCTCAGCACTTCTAGAAGAAGCTATTTAGGTTGTAAGGGACAACCCTTAAAGAAACACTGCATATCCTCCCCAGACCAATGGGCAAACGAAAGTGGTCAACATGAGTGTGGAGACATATCTGTCTTGTTTTGTATCTGATACATCGAAGCTATGGGCTAAGTGGATTGCATCGGACGAATATTGGTACAATACTTCACACCACACCTAAGCACAGGCGACCCTTTTCAAAATATTGTATGGGCGAGATCCACGTCACTTAATACAATATGAGCATAGTACACACCGGTATCCATCATCCATCAGTATTTGGAGGAGGAGGACAAAATACTTGTAGAGCTCAAGTGGCATTTACTGAGAGCTCAACAAATCATTAAGAGGAAAGCAGATGAACATAGAAGAGATATGTAATTTGAACTTGGGGACATGGTCTACTTGAAGCTGAGGCCCTCTTGGCTGAAAACATTGGCCAGGAGGAGTGAGAAACATTCACCGCGATACTTTAGACCGTATGAGGTGATGGCATGCATCGGAGCATTGGCTTATCGTCTGAAGTTAACACCATTGTTCACACTACATGGTCTTTCATGTGTCACAGCTAAGACGGGCGATTGGAGATTGCACACCTTCGCTTACACTACCGCCGACGCTGACGGAAAACTTAGAGGTGATTCTGGAGCCATTAGAGATCAAAAGAGTGTGTCGCAAGGTAGGGGGAGCAAAGGAGGTATTGGTTAAATGGAAAAGACTATCAAACTATAAAACAACATGGGAGCATTACGAGACGATCCATAAGCAGTTTTCATCCTCCCACCTTGAAGACAAGACACTTTTTGGTAGGAGAGTAATGTTATGGCTAGAACAGTGTCGGTCCACCCTAGACCGACTGAAAACCACACAACCGGCCGACAGGCAGGCCGATCTGAGCCGCGTGAAGAAGCATAGCGAGCAAGGCAGGCCGCAGAAAAGGAGCAGGCAAGGCATGCTGCAAAAGCGAATCAGGAGAGGGTGGGGCCCATTAGGGCCACAATCACGTATTCAAGAAGGAGAAATTAGAGGAGTTTAGAGGGAAAGTTGGGAACAAAAGTTTTTGAAATGTCGGAAGGGGATTCTATTAAGAGGGATAACCTGGGGTTACTTTTTTTATGCATATTTTTATTTGTCTATTGTTTTCTTTCTTCTTGTGTTGTGCCCAGTGATCTCTAAGGTGTGAGAGAGACGATCTGCCTCTCTAAAGTAGATCACCTTTTATCTTGCTTGTATTCTCTTGATTTTCGTAAGAGCAGCCCTTGTTTGTGTTTCTTCCACCTATCTATTGTCGTTTTGTCGTGATTTGTTCGCTGATTTTAGTTCTAAGGCGTATCAAACTACCACTATCATACAAGTAAGAATTGCTCTTAAAATGCATTGCCCATACTCATGAAGTTAGGTAAGGGTTGGTGTGCGTGTAGTGTAAGACTTTTCATCAATTTTTTTTTGTGTTTTCTATGTGTGTGCGCGCGCATCAATCAAATTTGTAAAAAACTAGGCTGAAGTAGCATAGAAGAAAAATAATACAACTGGAAACTAAAAAATAAATTAATGAAATGGATGCCAAATTGACTGAATGTCATTAGCAGTCTAACCCTAACATATCTTCAATATACAGAGATGTTAAAGTAATAAGTAGGCAAATGGTAAACTTCTAAGAGAATTTCTCAGCTTTATATTACATTAGTTACTCAAGCAAGATTTTTTTTTTTTTTTGTTACTTTGTTTCTAGAGTGCATATGATAAAATAGCAGGATTGAAACCTTACTTGGAAAGCAGGTCCAGTCTCAGCAGAATTCATAATGCTCCAACCCCCCATAAAAGCAAATAGGAAAAGCCTTCTAAGGATGGTATCAACAGGAGGAACTTCAACATAAGCAAGTAATCTTTGAACCCAAGGAGGAGATTCCTCAACTTGCTTCTTCAGCCTGCTTTTAAGATTGATTTTTGTTTTCTTGCGCAGCCTGAAGCTTGCCATTAATAACTTTTCAAAAGCACCCTCAATGGACTCCACACTTGCTTCATGGCCAGCATATTGTTCCAGAAGATAATTTCGTGCTGCTAAAATTTCTTCTTGAGAAGCATCCCGAGTTAAACCAAGCCTCTTAAAAGGATCCCATACATGCATTCGAGGGAATTTCATAACATTCTCTGGGACATGATATGCAAAAGTTTAAGCCAGATACAAAAAAAAAGGATCCCATACATGCATTCGAAGGAATTTCAGAACATTCTGTGTGACATGATATGCAAAATTTTAAGCCACATACAAAAAAACCAAGTGCCATAGGGAATATTTGCAATGGATCTTATGTTTTACTCAAAATAAAGGTTTGTCATACAGGAGTTCAAAAACTGAAAGACAGTCCTCCGTATTACTAAAATTTTAAAAAATAAGGCAACAATCAGACTATAAAACTTGATAAATATTGCATTTAGTAACCTATTTCCAGTTATATTCTCGTTTTATCATTTAGCCTTTCATTCTATCCCACAACAAGCAACCCACTATGAGTTGAACGTGGGCAAAGGAGGACAAGGCCTCTCCCTCCCTCTCAGCACCATTGTTTCCCATCAACACTCTCCCTACCTTCAGTTTTCTCTCCTCCCTTTTAGGATTTAGATCCTCTCAAAATAAATGGTAATTCTTACACATCTCAACCATCCAATCCACTTTGGATGGCAGGGATTGATACTAAATTATCTTAAAAGTCAATAACAATGATCTAGAGTGAATTAAATTATTGAGATCTAAGGTGCATATACCATGGTGATTAGATACCAATTCTCCCCTGCAACCCTTTCATAAATTCAAGATCTCACCCTTCATTTATGACAGCAGCTGTGGAGGATAATTGGCCAAATAAGCAGAATCAGTAACATGATTAAGCAAGCAGCATTACTTAACAACATTTTGTAAACCAAAAAAATGATCGAACTGTTTGCCCATATCAACACAAAGAAACTGATACCGTGTTGAAAAACCGAAATATCAAAAGGAATCAAGTGAAACGGTAGTAGCTCAGGTACATTTCATATTCAAATTAGGTGCTACTATTTTGCTCAACGTAATATGCAGAATCAAGAGAATTTGGTATTCTTTTAATTTAAATTCAAAAAAGAACTCTTCTCTTGACTGTGACAGCATTTAGCACTATTTTTAGTTGAAGTCTGCACAAATTAGAAGTTCAATGCAAACATGACACATCACTAAATACAGATCAAAATAGTTTCAGGAAACTTCTTTTCAAATGTTGTGCCATTATCACCACAAATTAATTTGCTTTTTAAAATACTCAAAACACCTAGATATTGTGTTTTCAAAACAATTAACCATGTTATAACATACCAAACATATTTTATTTTAAGTAAAAAAATAAACAAAATAAAACAAAAATAAAAAAATAAAAATAAAAAGTGATCCCAAATGACACCTTTATTAGCTAGACATATGACCTAATCAATAATGAAGAGGGCAATAGATGTAGCATTAGAGAGAGTAAAATGCCTTCAATTTCAAAACTACTACCAATCATATTCTTCATACTGAAATCCTAATAGACATAGGAGGGTAACAAAATTACCAAGCAATTGTTGGATTAGGTAAGATAGATTATCAAATTTACAGAAATGGGAATGTATAAAACAATATTTAAAATTAATGTGGAAAAGAGATGGACATGTCCCTTCTCAAAAATAGAAGAGAGAGAGAGATCCATTAGCAACAATAAATGGAGGGAGATAATGCATGTTAAGAAATGAAAATAATTAAGAATCACATCTAACATGAGAAGAAGCACCATAATCTAAAAGACCCAAGACGTACCAAAATAAGCAACTACAGTTGAACCAAAGGAGGAAACCGCATGAGAGGCGGTCGTACTCAATTAGGATTGTGTGGTAGTCAACTAAGATTGTTACTAACACGGGAGTAAACCGAGATACGTGGTACTGAAGCTGCTACAATACCGCAGACACGTTACTGTAGCTACTACAGTAACCGCATATCACTCTTGCTTATTTTGATTCTATAACTTATCTACCACCTTCCACTTCTATCCCAATTTCAAATTCTTTCATTTTCCATCACCCTTGCTTTATTTATTTCCTATTCTTCTACTTAACTCATCTACCTACTAAACCCCCTCTTATTTATGCATGTTGTCTTCTAAGGTTAGGCATTTATAGATGTTGTTTGCTGAAGGCAAGGGAGGTTTTTGATGAGCGGAAAATTCTGAGTTTTATCTTTGAGGTGTTCTTCCCCTACAAGACTATGCTCGACAACGAGAAGGTGCTCCGGCTGTAACTCGTACGAGGTGGTGACCATCTCCAAGGGTCTAGTTGGTACTCCGACTGTAGCTCGACCCCGATGAGACCTTTATCCTTCCGCAGCACCCTCCGACCCCACTTCCAGCAACTGACATCCATCTCAGAGGCCACAACCTGCTGCTCAGCGCCTCCCGAACTTGCTGTCCCAAATGGCACCTCCGACTGCTCCCAGGAGAACATTGCTGTCCAGCCAGTCCCTTCCTTGCCAGCTGCCCTGCGGCCCCCTCTAAAGCCTTCCAGCCTGCTGTCCCGCCTCCCAAATCAACTGTCCAGCCTCACGGAACCTGATGTCCAGCCTACCAGCCATCTACCAACACTTAACCCAGCCTTCAACCCTTCCCTCTTTCCCACTCACCGCCTTGTTGATGCCACCACCGCCCTCGGATCGTCTCTTCTGGTCCTAACCGGAGACAAATTATTGTTGTTTACTGTTTAGATGTGTTGTATGTGTTATCTTTTATTTCATATTCGCAAGTCCCACATTTGTACCCTTTTGAATTCAGTAATAACAATTATGTTTTTTTTATTCATGGTGGTTTGGGTTTCCTTTGGTATTAGTTACCGTAAGTGATCAAGTTTAAGAAAAAGAAACAATTCCACAGTTAAAGCGCTACAAGGGGCAGCTACCGTGGCATGCTAAGCAGTTGGAGGATAATAGTTTGTTTACGATAAAAAATCAGAGTGATTAGCAAACAATGCTGGTAAGGTGGAAAAGAGTTTCAAACATAACACATCCACCATCAGAACCACAATTATCCCAGCTGCTCTTGTGGTAAAAGCAAGAGCGATGTTCATGATCAAATGTAGATAGAATAATGAGATTAATGACCCAGAGAATGCATGAGAAAGCTATGAAAAATTGGGACACTAGAAATGATCATTATTAAGGTTAAAAAATTGGAGAAACAACCAGAGATGACAGAGAAACTTGGCAAAAAGAAAATTCATTAATGTACTTCTGCAAAATGGTGTGATTAGTAAGAAAGGGACTATTGAAAAAGTTCATACCATTTGTCTTTCAATGTACTATTACAAACTTGAATAAACTTATGGCCTCATTGTAAAGAAGATGTCAAAGTAAAGAGTAAATATTTGAGAGAAGCCAAAATCATAAAAAAAAGCATAACAAATAAAATCTCACAATCCTTTGCAATTTCCTAAAGCATGAGGGTAAAAGCATTTTGAGATTCAAGACTACCAAGCATCCAAGTGAGAATCGGATTTGCTGAAGGCCTACCTCTTTGTATATTTAATGGTATTCATTGATTAGAAGTAGAGAGTCCATATGATAAGGTTTCTTATGAGTAATCAAGGAAATAGAAGGCTCAAATCCAAGAAAGTAGTTGATACCATTGAGTTTGATGGCAATACTACGATTAAAAGAGGTAACAAAATTCATCAATGAACGCCCCAAAAAAGATGAGGACAATGATAAAGTAATTAAAAAAAGATTGAAAGGCACTGCTCAAATTAAGTTACGAGAAGTAACTACCGGACGAGATCAGATAAAGAGTTAGCATATGCAAAGATCATGCGAGTAAGAAGACTATCAGAGGGAGAAGTTTTGCGGTGGGCAAAACATGACACCAGGTGCTAGGATGCAAGGCAACGCACAAAAAAGAAGGTGGCTGAAGTGCATGTAGCATGACAATGTATCAAACAGCATAGCATAGGCATAATGAGCGATGAGCAACTACAACAAGCTTATAATCCTGTGAGCATAGAAAGTGATTATAGCAATTAGGCACAATGGCAAGAGCACAAAAAGAAAACAAAGAGCCAAAGAAGGCGGGAGGTTAAGGGGATCGACAGCTCAGTCCTAATCAGGCTCTATTATTGTGTTACAATGATTAGAAATTGCTTAATATCCTTCATTATAATAATTTTGCCTATATCTGTGCAAAAGCACTATATTAAATGAAAAAAAGCCTAAAATATCATCAATTAAGAGAATGTATTGCAAAATAAAGATAAAATGTTGATTAATAAATAACAACGAATTTGGTAAAAACTCTAAAAATAAATTCATTAAATTCTCAAAAATTTGGTCAAAGTACACAGATACATGTGCTTGATAGTTCATTATAGAAATTAGGGTGTTAGTTCTGTAAATAAGTGTTGAATATTAAATAAAGAAGCACATTGTCTGGACCTAGCCCAGGGCTTAGAATTAGTCAAGACTAGTACAAACAGTCGGATGGTGAATTTTTTTTTTTTAATTTCATTTTCTATAACTAACATTTAACAAATAAAACGTCACTACAAAAAGGAAAATTAAATTAAAAAAGTTATAAATTTAGCCCAAGTAATGTTTCCCCGCGTCTTCTATAAATATTTCATCTTCTATTGCTCATTTTTTTATCAAACGATTAAACTTGTAATGTTAATTTAAAATAACAGTGAGCTAAAAAACTAGTGAATACTCATACTCCATAACAATAGTAACATAATAAAGAGAAAATAATATACATACCAGTTAAATTTTATGTAAAATCAATTTAAGAGTATTTGAATGTTTATACTGTCTAATATGATCATTCAAAAAAATTCTAAACATTCACTGTGTTTTACTGTATTGTTTACATATCAATAACTTTTTAAAATGTACACAACCATCAAAGGAGCACTGTCTAAAATTACGACAAACACATTAATATAAATATAAATATCATGAAAACTAGTGTTCTTCCACTAGTATCATAAAGAGATGAACTTCATTATAGCCAAACATACACATACATTCAGTCAATATAGACATAATTCATGTGTATTTCATTTAATTCAATACATTTTGTACATATAATGCATAATAGTAGTTATCACAAAAATATAAAATCATCATAATAATATGACCAGCAAAAGAATGACATCAATTAGAATAAAACTTAACATTTTAATTTATAAGTAGCAATAACTATCAATGTAACTGATTAAGAAGACACAAAAATACTACTACATATTAAAAGTAAGAGTATTCACCTCGTTTAATAAGCTAGAAATCTAATCGTGAAATCTGATTTTGCCTCCTTCAATTTGACATCTATAAAGATGTTTATAAGAATTAATTCTATGACTATTGTTTTTATTTTAATATTTTTCAAAATCCTTAAATTTATTTCTTCAAATAGTATCATTATTATTACTATTAATTTATATTAAAAAAAAATATTAATTTTACATGAATTATTATGTCATGATTTAGTTATTTTGATTCTTACTAGCATTTATTTGTTTGTTTATTTCAATATTAGAACAATCGATAATCACTTTTCTTATGTTTTTATATCACTTTCATATATTATCAAGTATATATAAAACTATTAATTAAACAATATTTATATTAACTTTAAAAAAACCTTAACTCACCAAGCGTAACTCACCAAGCTCATTAAGTTTGATCATCCCACTTCCACACTTGATGCCCTCTTCCTGCCCTTCTTTGCTTCGACCTTGCGCGGGAGACCATAATCGTACTCCGCTCCAACTTTCCCACAACTTCGACCTCACCTGCTCGACAACGAATTTTCCTTCGACTTCAATCGCAAGCTTTGTCTCCCTCGTCTCCCACACCTGCTAGATAAAGATCACGAATATCGTCGTTGGTCCACATCATCGCCTTCAGTTCATCCCACGAAAGTGAGTATTCTTCTTACTAATCATTATTATTATTATTATTATTATTATTTTTTCTTCCATCTCTCTTTACCTCTCGATCTTGTCTTTCGGCTTCCTTCAAGCTCGTGGTTTTGCCACTAGGGTTACACACGAGACTCTTCTTCTCATCATTCCTTCCTCTCTTCTTTGTTTCTCTTCTGTCTTCCTCCATTTATCTCTGTTTATTTCATGGATCTCGACTCTTTCACTTCATTTCCAGCTTGCAAAGTGTTGGTGTTACAAATACTAAAACCTAACATGAGATACATAGATTAAGACCTATGTGAGTTTTCCTTTTATTGTTCTTGATGGAATGTCACTTCGTTATATTGATGGAATGTCACTTCACTTTAGAAAAACTAGCGTTTGGGGTATTTTGATGCAATATTAAAAATTTGAGTGTTAAATAAGTAAATATTAAAGTTAAAATGTTAGATATCTAAATACATAAGAATTTTCTAATATTTATGTAATCAATATTATTTATTTCGAGTTTCAATGAATTGATTTGTTGTAATAAAAGAAATTAAAATTATCCACACTCTATCATATAAACTCGTACTATTAATAAGGTGATAAAAAGAAATCTCACCCTTTTGTTTCTTTATGGTATGAGAGTGATAGCTCTCACTTTAGTTAACTTCAGCATACCATCTCCTTGCCTCTTCTTGGATGATCTCACCGTCTTCAACATCTAAATTTTTAATTCACTTTTGTAGTGACAATCCCAAATCATTCAATTCTCAACATCACAACTCATCTTCATCAAAATTAACAAATTGTCCCATTTCGTACTCAATTTCATGACTCTCCTTCAAAACCCTCTTCAACACATTTGCCTCTCATCATCATTGAACATCGGTCATGTCATGACCCAGCCTAAAGCTTAGAATTAATCAAGAAGGAAGCAGACGGTCAGACGATGTGAATTAAATTTTTTATATTCAGTACTATTTAACAGATAAAAGAGTCACTAATCAAAATAAACTAAAATAATATATGTAAATTTATCTCGTTATTAGTTGTCTGTGTCTTCTATAAATGTTCTCTCTTCTAACACTCATCATTAATCAATTAATTAACCTGAAAAGTTAGTTTAAAATAATAATGAGCTAAATTGGTCAGTGAATACTCATATTATTAAACTACAATAATAAAAGAAAAAAGAAAGTAAAATGCATGCGAGTTAAAATTTTAACAAATCAATATTAACAATTTTAATGTTATCAATGAATTTTACTATAACAATATTATATCAATATCATTTTATATATAGACAAGTCACAGGAGCACCGTCTAAAAGTTTATACCAATTAAGGTACTTCAATATCAATATCTTTTTTCATATACGTGCACGTATACATTAGTGTTCCCCCACTAGTACCATCAATAGGTGATTCCATCATAGTCTGTTGTGCACACACAAGCATTCCATCAAAATCATTATTTACTGAAAATATACTTTATTCTCATTTATGTATTCGACAATTTACTTGTTGTGCACACATCATTCATACAATATGAAC